TATTAGTCATCATGATGTGCATTCACATTGAGAGTAAAGAAAAGAAAAGAATAATAACCTTGACAAAGAGACATAAAAGGATGACGCAATATAAACGGTATTTTCATATGATAAATTTCGCTGTTGTTTTCCCACAAACGTTGACCTTTCCTCGTCCGTCTTCAAAATTTGTTGCTGTAGGTACGAAAAAAGTTGTCAGTTTCTATTATTTTCTCGCTAATGATGTAATTTGATTAATTAGTAATTAAATTAATTTGATAAGGAGTCAAAGGGAATTTTTCTCAGATTGTAGGGTCGTTCGGATGTTATGTCACAATATTTGTACGACTTATATGGATTTTTCTATCAAATAGTCTCGTTGCACTTAAGCCTACCATTGATTTCAGTTCATAGAATGTTACATAACCTCTAACCGCCCCCAAAAAGATTTATGGATGAAATAAGAAGATGAAAAGCAGAAAAAGAATCGCAAAATTGTTAGATTATCAATCAATTATAATCTAAGACAATTTACTTCAATTCTTAAAGCTCAAACCCAAAATTTTGAAGATTGAAAATATTCGAATGCTTAATGATGTGAAAAAGTTTCCAGCTCATCATCATCAGAGAATAAGAAAGAAACGAGAAAACATTTCCTTTTGTGTGCTAAAATTCCTTTTCACTCGAGGGTAGTGGATGCGATTAAGAAGAATGAACTGAAATTTAGGTCATTTTTCGGTGAAATCATTCACCTTTGAAAATATTTTTGTGTTTATAAGAAAGTTTCATTGGAAAAAAGAAGAAAATTATATTGTGAAAAATTCAACAGGTGTTTCTAGTTCCATTGCTTTTCTGTCCTTTCTTGGAAGAATTTTGAAAGGGTAAATACGAAAAAATTTCTGAATGGTGAAATTTGTTTTTGTAACAAAAATAATATAAAATAGATTTGTGACAATATTTTGGAGGTAATCAACCTAAAAGGTACATTCTAAAGTATAAAACATTCTGTTTTGAAGTATTTTCGGTTTGCAGCACATTAATTGTCTTTTTTAAAATTTTTGGCGGGAAATTAGATTTTCAAAAAATTTCTTAATGACTTGATTTGAATTTGTGGATTAGCTTTTTAATTGGAAAACAATCACAAATAAGTCGCTGTCTTTGAAATTCACACGAGACACAGTTCAAACACTGGCAAAGCCGATTTTTAAAATTTGGCGGGAAACTAGATTTTCAAAAAGTTTCTTCATGACTCAATTTTAATTTGTAAACTAGCTTTATAAATGGAAAACAATCACAAATAAGTCTCTGACTGTAAAATTCATACGAGACACAGTTCAATTACACCGGTAAAGCTGGGAGAAGCTAGTCACGTCATACATATTTGAAAATAAGTCTTAAAATTAGTCATCGAATTCTCTAGAATGGAAAAAATAAAGTTTTAAACTGAAATGGATTTTAGAGTATCGCAAAAATTACTATTTTTAAATTTTCCTTCTTATTTTCCAAAGGATATCACAGAAGAACTTAAAACTATGAAAATATCCTCAAAAATGTTTAATAAATATTCCTTCAAAATAAAAATAATAGGGTAAATACTTTTGAAAATTGCACACTTTTGAAATCATATTCATATGAAAATGAAAAATACAAATTTCTCCCAAAATATCAACTCCTAATAATACTTTCTTCACAAAAACTTTGTATAACTATTGTACAAATGTTTTCTTTCCATTTTGGCTCATTCAGCAACCAATTTCTCATACAAAACATAACTTTACAAAATATAACGTTTTGGGATACAATCAGCGGCTTTATCAAATATTTTAATATACAAAAATTAAGTTTTTAAGTTGCTTAAAATTCTGAAAGTATTTCTTTTGCAAAAGAATAAGCGGAAGTGCCTAAAACATCATTTTTAAAATTTGCACAAAAATTTATCAAAACTTTTGAAATTTGCACACTTTTAAGCTAAAGAGACATTGCGAAATTTGATGTAAACATTAATTTTTCTGATTCAAAAAATTTATGTTTTATGCCTGAACTGAAGACACCGATGAATGAGATTGTAAGAAAATGGAGAAAAATATTCGATAATTATCTGTGATTAAAAATTTAACGAAAAAAGAGTTCAAAAAAAAGGAAGAAATTTACGAAGCAGTCAAATTTTAAAAGCAGCAAGTTTAAAATTGTACATGATCAAGCAAAGAAAATGCACCCTACAAATCACAACAAAATTAACCGGCATTTCACCATTTATGAGCTTTAATCACAGGAAATTCTATATTTTGTAAATATCTGGTCAGTTTCGCTTTTCCTTATTTCTTATTGTGTGGGTCTTATCACCTAATGATACATTTCCTTATTTATGATTTAATAATACTTTCATTTATTAAAACAATACATGATTTAAATTATGATGTCACTAGAAAGTCCTAAGCTAAGCATTAGTATATGTGCATAAAATAAATATTCGTCGCGATTTTATGAACATTTTCATTTCTCCCATTCAGTTGCAATTTGAAAGCGACAACGAACAGTTGAAAAAAAAACAGTTCTCCGGAGAAAATTTTGAATGCTTTCATAAGCTTAAGTTTCTATCAAAGTGGAGATATTTTATGTGAAAGAAAATATTTTATAAGGTAGGAATTGTGGCATTTTACTTTAAGTTAAGTTATAAAGTGTAAATTATTTAAATAATTAAGGTGTAAAATAAAATCAAACAGGTTGGCGCGCTGACAAAAATGTGAAATTGCGAAGCTATAGAACTAAATTAAAAAGTATCCAAATTAAGAACAATAAAATTCAATTAAGCTTAGCAACTAATCCAAATATAAATAAAGAAAACTTAAAAAATCTTCAACTTAGCCTAGACAAATGTGTAAATCATATGTAACAGTCTTAAAAATGTCATCATCCAATTTTGATTCTGCGCATGAAGGATCAACGATTTACCCTTAAAAACATTCAACTTAACTTCTATTAAACTCAGAATTAATTAGGGATTTGATTAATAATAACTTGTTTGCAATAATAGAAAAAAAGCAAAAAATATTCATTTGAAAATCGATTTTTCAGTATTGCAAAGATGGTGAAATACCTTCTTAATATTGGAACACATTATTATATGAACTTTTATGGAAATTCAATACCTTGAAAATTTCTCCAAATAAAAATAACAAAATATTTGCAATTCTTAAACAGAAATTAAATTCGATTCGAGTTTTATCAAATTACATTAGATTTTTTTTTTCTGTGGATATTCCTCAACATGTTTTGGATATCATAACAACAACAATATCAGGAATCAAATTATCGTGACATAAACTATCAATAAAATATTTATTTTTGTAAAACTTGGCGTCATGGAAAATTTTCTAAGTTAAAGCTAAAAAGGACTGGAAATACTTCTATTTACTACACAAGCATGACGACAGCTTTAAAAAGGCTGGAATTTTATTATTCTTAACTGAAAACCTTTGTTGGATTTTCAATTTTTTTTTTGTCATACTGAATATTCAATAGTGTTGATTAAGAGGTCAGAACAAGGTTATAGAACTGATCAATATGATCAAAATGATCAAATGTAAGATTTATGATAATTTACAGGGTCAAATATTTGATCAAGTCCTTCAGATTTCACTTAAAGATAGCTTTATCACAAGATGTAGTGTTCAAATGTTCAATCTATAGTCAGTCTACTTATAATAACTTCTAAAACTTGTTATGTAGATCTACCTTTAACTGTTATAGTTCAGAAACAAGTTGAGTACGATAGGAATCGAACCCAAGCCTCAAACAAACGATCTCTGACTATTCGATTAGAGATTCCTGCCTGAGCGAGCCTTATGCTTAGGCCTTTCTACTACAGAAATGATCTTCGAGCTTTATCCACATTATGGCTATTAAATACCTTCATCTTTAAAATCAAATTATTTCTAATAATGCTATAAAATGCATCTTATATTTAAAAGTTATTCCAAAATCTTTTTCAAAATAAATTTTATAAATTAAGAATTTAACTTAATAAAGATGATTTCAGCTGTAAAAAAATTGCTGTCAAGACAGAGAAAAAACGTGTAATCAGCTGAATGAAATTTACTTCCTACATGCAATGTTTACAAATGTTTACAAATACCCTTAGCAATGAGTTTTTATGAAAGAATGAGTGATCAAGAAATTTTTCATGCTTAATTTATGCCAACAGAAAGTGAAAGCTTTCGCACAAAATCATTCAAATTAGGAATCAAAAAATTAAAATGCTTGTGAACTTTAAGAAACAATTTAATTCAATTCTGTTTATATTCACTTAGTATTGCTACATGTGGCTATGCATTTGAAATGAAAATCGATGAAAAAGCTGTTTTTTGCGCATTTAAAAAATTAACCGGCACGTGATGCAATACTGTACATTCACACTTTAACCTATATTTTAACGTTAATTCTTCAATAAATTTTTTTGTCACTAAACAATCAATTAAAATGGAATGTCAAGCTTTCCTTCTGAATATTCATTTTGATTGCTTAATTTACGACTTTAAAAATGTCAATTAATTGATGTAATAAAGAAGTAACTGAATGTAAGTTTGTGAATGAATTTTCAGAACTGAATTAGTCAACTCTTACATGTAAACTATTGTGTCAAATGAATTCATTAACATTATGCAAATATCTAAAGTAAATACAATAAGTAAATTGAAAATTTATAAGTGGAGATTATATTTAACTTGAACAGCTGTCACACGGAATCTATAATTTTAGAGATTCTAGTTCCGCTGCTCAATCTTTCTTTTGTCGGTGTTAAAGCTGATGTACAAGCCTGACTAGCAAAAGTCGGTTAATCGATCATAAATCCAGCATCATGTTGGCTTGACTCTGGCATGGTACCAGACTCAATTTAAATCCGATGCTATGCCAGAGTCACACCAGCTTGGTTCAGGATTTCTGATCGATTAACCGACTTATGCTGTTCGGGAAGGTTTATCAAATCAAATTTAAAAAAATCTTCCAAGAATTTTTCAAGAATGGGTTTGACTCCGAATAGATATAACAAGAAGGATGTGTTCTTGATCTAAACAACAATTTGGATTGTATAAAAAATCTATTTCCCTTCTTTCAGACTAACATGCCTTTGAACACCGAATCAGAAGTAAATGTAAGCAACTTTTAAATGTTAAAGCTAATGAAATGTTGAAATAATTGTAATTAAATTCACAGAGTCTAATGGATGGTAGAAGGAATACCATCCAACAAATGGACATTGAGGTTCAAGGCCCCCAAAAAGAGAGAACAAACTGGTCGAATGGACTTGAATTCCTTTTGAGTTGTATATCACTGTCTGTTGGATTAGGAAATCTTTGGAGATTTCCATATACATGCTATGAAAATGGTGGTGCTGCATTTCTACTGCCATATGTAAGGAAATATTGCAATTTTGTTAAATGTTAAATTAATTAAATGTTTATTTCATCTAGCTCGTCGTTCTATTTTTCATTGGAAAACCATTTTACTTGCTGGAAATGTTTTTGGGACAATTTAACTCAAAAGGAGCTGTTAAAGCTGTCCAAATATTTCCAATCATGAAAGGTACACCACATTTTTAAAACCTATACCTTTTACCCGAATGGCAAAAGTAGGTTAATCGAAAAGAATTCCAGAACCAAGCTGGCATGACTCTAGTATGGTGATAGCTTCGATTTAAATCCAGCACCATGCTAGAGTCGCACCGGCTTGATACCGGATTTTTCTTTCGATTAACCGATTTGTGATTTTCGGGTTATAGCTTTGTGCATGATTAATAATCACTTTTAATTAAAATTAAGGTATTGGATGGGGTCAGCAATTCATCAGTGCTATAATTTCAACATATTACACATCTCTGATTGGTCTTACACTTGCATACTTCTTAAATTCGTTTAGTTTCCCAGAATTGCCATGGGCAACATGCTACGACCTTCCATCACCTTGTTATAGTGCATCGTTTATTGGTGAATCTATTAATTCAACTGGAGCTAAGTCCAGTGCTGAAATATTTTTCAAAAATGTAACATCCCAAAAAGGCGATATATCCGATGGAATTGGACAACTCAATCCGTATCTAACAATGTGTCTTTTCATCTCGTGGATCTTCGTCTATTTTTCAATTGTTAAAGGCATTAAGACATCTGGCAAATTATCATATATCTTCGCAATTGTTCCGTACATTATCTTAATATCAATTTTGATATTTGTCATAAGACTTCCAGGTGCTTGGACTGGAATTAAATTTTTATTTGAACCGAACTTTGAGAAACTTTGGGATCTCAATGTTTGGTATAAAGCCTGCACACAGTGCTTCTACTCATTGACTATTGGTATGGGATGCATCTTGATGTTTTCAAGCTATAATAAATTCGATCATAATATTTATCGGTAAGCTACAATTCCTAGCTTTTATGCAATCAAATTGTCAAATAATAATTCAAATTCTAAAATTAAGAACCTTCAATTATGAATTACAGTGACGCAGCAATTATTAGCTTGACAGACACATTCACCAGCATTCTTGGTGGAACTGCTATATTTGCAGTTCTTGGAAATCTCGCACATAATACAAATCAAAAGGATTTAAAGAAACTTACTGAAGATAAAATAGGAGTTTCATTTATCTCGTATCCAGAAGCTATTGCAAAGATAGCTGCATCGATTTCAAATAAATTCTATTTTGCACAGGTAAGGCAGTAACATTCACTTCCTTGAAGGTTTTAATAATTAGGTATAAATTTAATTTTCCTATAGATCATGGCTATGATTTTCTTTGGAATGTTATTCCTCCTTGGTGTTGGATCAACTGTTGGATTATTAAACAATGTTGCAACAAATATAAAAGATGCATTCCCAAAGCTTAAATATTGGTTTATTGCTTTAATTGGTTGTCTTTTTGGATTCCTAGTTGGATTAGTCTACGTGACAGAAGGTGGAATGGCTATTTTAGGTCTTATTGATCATTTTGAAGGTAAGTTAACAAACTAGATTCTAGTGATGGTCAACCCACGTGCTGCGACACGCAAGTGTGTCACACAAATCTCATGAACCGTATGCAATACGCGGTTTCAACCTTGGTGAGCCGTGACACAAAAAAGGTTGGCTACAACTGGACCAGAAGCTTTAAAGTAATCAAACTCACTCTATTCCTATCAGGCAACTTGTTAGTCTTCACATTGGCGACTCTTGAGCTCGTTGGATGTGTATGGCTTTATGGCTTCCAAGAACTTTGTTGGGACATTGAGTACACACTTGAACGAAAGCTTTCTGCATACTGGAGAATATGTTGGGGCGTCATTATGCCAGTGTTCTTAATTTCTATCAATCTTCACATGCTGTTTTCTTTTGAAAATCCAAAATATGGCAACCAAATGGACTATCCAGCAATTGCTCTTTTTATTGGCTATGGACTATTAATATTTGGATTTTTACAAATACTTTTTGCAATGTGCTTCGATTACTTTGGCATGTTCCAAGGTAAAGGAATTAAAAGTTTCTTTTCCTATATGTTTACAATTAATGAAAATTGGGGTCCTGCAAAAAAAGATAACATGAAGAACTGGAGAGAGTTTAAGGAGAGGAAGAGACGTGCACGAGAAATTGAAATAAAAAATCATAATCTTTCATGGATCCAGCAAAAGCAATGGGAACTTTTTGGAAAGTTTGATTAAATTCCTGCTTGGCTATTCCTGCGTTATTATACGATTACATTAAATTTATAGCTACATATCGTAATCTCAATTTTAATTCACTTACGCACCACTGAGGTGTGAATTTCTCTGTCTAAATTCTATAAGACATTTTTTTAAACTTTAGATACTTTTTTGATTACTAAAATTTACTAGATGCATCTTTGAGTACTATTAAACTATAATAAAATAAGACAAACTTAAATAGTTTGTAGATTTTTTCAAAAAACGCAAATGTGTGTTTTCAAAACGTTCACGAGCGGCACATTTGAAAAATGCAGTATCAATGGTCAGCCACGAAGTGATAAATCAACATCAAATGGATTCCAAATGAACGAATCGATTGTGCTGCTCGGGGTTTTTAATATTAAAGTAAGTTGAAACATCATTTATCCAAAAATGTATTATAAGCTTAAAAATTATTGCCAAAATTTTCAAAAATTAAGCTTCATGTTCAGACTTTTCAACTTTAGAGCAGATCTCGAAGTCGATGAAATTTTTATGGAGTCAAGTCGACTCGGATACAAAATCGATGAAAATCTCGAGTCAACTTCGAGCTCTGGTTTAGAGTTAAAATTTAGCATTTAAATGTTATGATTATAAAAGGCTTTCAGTGTTTAATCTTAAGTATCAATTTAAACTTTGAATCTTTGAAATATCTCAATCTATATCTGGTTAATGGGTGAGGATCATGGGACCGACAGAATAATTCCACGGAATTTTATTCTGCAGAATTATTCTGCAGAATTTTGTTCTGCAGAACTTTATTCTGCAGAATTTTGTTCCGCTTAAATAATTTTTTTAAACTTATTCTGCAGAATTATTCTGCAGAATTATTCTGCAGAATTATTCTGCAGAATTTTGTTCTGCAGAACTTTATTCTGCAGAATTTTGTTCCACTTAAATAATTTTTTAAAATTTATTGCAGCTTTTTAAATATTTTTAAATTCAACAAGATTAATTTAAAAACTAATTTCCAAATCAAAGATTTAATTTTTAATACCAATGATCCAAAATGATTTAAAGACCATCAAAAAACAGATCTATAATCGATTGATTGTTAATCCTTTAAGTGCAGGGGTCAAAAAGTAGAGTAAATTTAAAAAATACAGACTTTATTATAGTGGCATAGAAAAAACTAATGTGTATAATTAATGGAAAAAAAAACTGTTTGGGAAAATTTTGGAGGAATCCAAGAATGTGCTCATTAAGCAAGCTGAACGATTTTGAATTTGAAAACAGCATCTTTATTAAGCAGCAGTGTGGATTCCGATCTCTTCATTCCACAGTCCATCAGATTTTGCGAATCTCAGAAAAAGTGTCCTTTGGATTTAATAACAACAAAAGCACTGGCATGGTTCTACTGGACTTGCGAAAAGCATTCGATAGCGTTTGGCATGACGGTCTAGTCCACAAGCTTCTACAATACAATTATCCTGTCTATTTAATTAAAATCATACATTCATATTTGAAAGACCGTACTGCTTTTGTCACTTGTCAATCAGCAGATTCCTTCTATTTTGATGTAACTTCTGGTGTCCCCCAAGGTTCGCTTATTGCTCCACACTTGTTTAATTTATTCTTAAAAGATATCCCAATTCCACGAAAAGGTCATTTGTCTCTCTATGCAGATGACACTGCATTCTCTGTTCAGATGGCATGGAAAAATTTGAAACCTATTAAGCTTGAACTTCTCAAAACTGTGAGTTGTTTGCCAACTTACTTTCAGGATTGGAAAATTCAAATCAATGAGTCTAAAACCGAATTCATTATGTTTTCCATGTTTTCCAAATCCACAAAAATGATCGAGAAAACCGCACATGATTCGATTAGCTTCAATGGTCAATTGTTTTCTTGGAAAGAGGCAGTGAAGTATCTCGGCGTTGTTCTTGATCGGAAACTGATCTTTAAACATCATATTGACTCATCCATTAACAAAGCCAGTGCTGCCAGTTTCTCGAGTCTATACTGCTTATTGAGTAGGAATTCCGTTGTCTCTACAGACTCTAAACTTAGAATTTATAAGTCTTACATCAGACCAATTTTAACATATGGTTGTCCTATTTTCTCGAATGCTGCAGCTTGCCATTTGAATAAGCTGCAATTATTTCAAAATAAAATTCTAAGAGTGATCCATGATGTTCACTGGTCTGACTTCAAATCGAACGAAATTTTACATAAGCTTTCAAATCTACCTTCAATCAAAGCTTTTGTTACAAATATCACTAATAACTTCTATGGCAAAATTATACACCATCCAAATGATCTCATCTCCTCTCTCGGTCAATATAATCACGATTCTCTGAGCTTTAGAGTAAAACATAGACTACCAAGAGCTTTGAATTAAGTCTATACGCTTAAATTAAATTAATTACTTATTAATGATTTTCTATTTAAACTTGTCTTAAAAAATTTTTTGGCTTTTTTTTAACATTTTTTCTGCCTAAACTTCATTGTAATTTTATATACTTTTCACCTCAAGCAATTACTCTTAGCTCCTTCACAAAATCACAATTGATTTAAAACCGATTAAGGTTAACATCAAAATTATTCTGTAGCTGTTCCGCCTTATATTATGTATTGAATAAAGGATTATTATTATTATTATTAAGAAGACCCTATGGTGGGAGTAGTTGAGCGCAGAGGAAAAATCAGTGCTGATCTTGCTACAGCATGTCTTGATCAATTGCGGGTTGTTAATGAACATCCACGACAAGAGCAGCAAGTCCCGTCAGTAACTTTAATGCATGAGATTCTTACAAATAACCATATATTTGATCAAAACCATGAGCTTAATAATGAAGGCGATATCACAGCTCACTTATCATCTCGTGGACGTGCAGCAGTTCCTCGTTCGGCCCGTAGTCGTGAACAAAACCCTAGAAGCCGTAATACACGACGTTCCCGTGCTTCTCGTCGTTAAATTACTATGAATTAAAATGGAAAAAAAAAATAATTTTTTTTTCCATTAATTATACACATTAGTTTTTTCTATGCCACTATAATAAAGTCTGCATTTTTTGAAACAATTTTTTTATTTACTCTACTTTTTGACCCCTGCACTTAAAGAATTAACAATCAATCGATTATAGATCTGTTTTTTGATGGTCTTTAAATCATTTTGGATCATTGGTATTAAAAATTAAATCTTTGATTTGGAAATTAGTTTTTAAATTAATCTTGTTGAATTTAAAAATATTTAAAAAGCTGCAATAAATTTTAAAAAATTATTTAAGTGGAACAAAATTCTGCAGAATAAAGTTCTGCAGAACAAAATTCTGCAGAATAATTCTGCAGAATAATTCTGCAGAATAATTCTGCAGAATAAGTTTAAAAAAATTATTTAAGCGGAACAAAATTCTGCAGAATAAAGTTCTGCAGAACAAAATTCTGCAGAATAATTCTGCAGAATAAAATTCCGCGGAATTATTCTGTCGGTCCCATGACCCTACGCCCTGGTTAATGACTAAAAGCTGGAAACTATTTTTTTTTATTTATAAAAAATTATCTTATCAATAAATTAAAAGATTTAATAATGAATATTTTTTTCTAAAAATAAAGTATTTTTCTCTGTTTAAATTTCTTTTGAAAAACTTTACTAGCAACTATAAAAATCAATATTTATTTCCCTATTCAAAGCTGATAAGCAGACACTTCATTCACCGATAGAAAAACTAATAAAGCTCAAATTAATAATAAAAATAATTCAAATTGTCAATTATTATTATTAAATAATTGTCGGACAGATGAGTGTAAGTGACCTAGGGGCCGTTCACTTATTACGTTCGCATTTTAGGTGGGAGGGGGTTTAGAAAATTGTAACAAAATGTAACATAGGGAGGGGAGGGGGGGGGTGTCAAGAAGTATGTAACGTTCTAACTGTCGTCTGTCTTTTAAAATAAAATCTTTCAAAATAAAATAAATTATGAACGTTCAGGGGGGGGGGGGGTTGTGAGTTGTAACATATTGTAACAAGGGGGAGGGGGTGAAAAAAGTCGTTTTTTTGTGTAACGTAATAAGTGAACGACCCCCTAATGGGTCAATCATAAAACAGAATTAGAAATTGCAATATTTCTTGTGATGAAGCTTGTCAATCATCACAAATTTTTCCCATATTAGAAAATAAATTTTAATTGAGCTGAAAAATACTACAAATATTTTCCACTGAAATAAGCAATTGAAATTTTCTAGGATTTTTCCTTTTTTGAGTCGGCGTCAGTACGAAGAATCTGAATGAATATTCAAATTAAAAACTTGGCTCAAAACTGAAATAATTAAGTCACATTTATTACATGTGAAGTGGCATCTTATGCAACTTGAAGAAAGTATTACAACAATATGTTTGGTCATGAAAGTTTTCTATTTCCGTATACAATACTAGCGCCGAGAAATAATTGACTAAGTAAGCCAGACACTCTAATGAATTGTTTTTGTTTCTGTCTCACTTGCGCATTCTCAACTACAAATTGCGATAAATTTATTTGCTTTACAAATTTTACATTCACTTATAAATGACATTTTAAGTGTATTGGTTTTACATGCATCGTCGGCATATTGGCCGTGATCTTGAACGATGTAGTATTTACATTTGCGAATGTACTATTTACTGCGTCACGACTGCATATCGATTATTTGCCGTATGATGCAATTCTCTCTTTACGTAATATTCTGCGAAATGTGGGTCACAAATAGATTGTTTCTATTTTCAGCTTGGAGATGCATTTTGAGGAAATTTTAAGGGGCCGTTCACTTATTACGTTACGCAAAAAACGACTTTTTTTCACCCCCCCCCCCTTGTTACAATATTTTACACCTCACACCCCCCCCCCCCCCCCTGAACGTTCATAATTTATTTTATCATTAAAAAGGTGGAAAATTTAAAAAAATATTTTTGGTGTGAATTTGTAAAAAAAATTTTTACATACTTCTTGACACCCTCCCCCGACACCCCCCCCCCCCCCCCCCCATGTTACAATTTTTCAAATATTTAAAATAAATTAAGTATTCAAAGTTACAAAAGATTACTTTTTTCTGT